GGTCAAATTGTGAAAATGTGTTATGACATTGACTGAGCTGCTTAGTAGCAGAGGGTCTGGACCAGCCAGACTATTGGTAATGTTGGTATATATTATGTAAAATGGCATCGGGTTTGCTAAACTTTCAATGCTTTTTATTTTTACAGGAAGAGAAAGAAAGAATCTATCAAGAGTGGATCACGTGATATTAGTCCTCTTTGGTAAAGGAGGAGCTGGTAAGAGTACAGTCCTCGTCCACACGTCAAGGAGGAGGGGATTCCCTTTGAAACTACTTTCAGACAATACCAAGAGCTTTAATCACCCTCTCACTTGATCATTGGACTTCGAGTAATGAATTTACCTTCAGTGGAATCTGATGATAGTTTAGAGGAAGAATTCAAGATCACTAATGAGGAGTTACATGATAGAATGAAGTATTTTCATGTCTTACTCAGTCACTTCTGGAAGAGATGGCACAGTGAGTATTTGATGCTACTGTGTTACTAATAGTACAGGAGCTTTTGTCTGATTTTAGATAAACTAAAAAAATTAATCGTAAAAATCAAATTTTGATTGGAATCAGTTCAAACTTTCTACGCAACGTAAGTACATGTATATGCATCAGAAAATGTAATAAAAATAGAGAATTTTCTCCTAGCTATTTTCCATGACATATACCCAGTACTGTATAAACTGATACCATTTCTTGTTATTTCTTCCACACAGACTCATCGGCAACAATATTTCCTGCCAATTTGCCCTGGAACAGTTACCTCATTAGTATTAATAATGTTACCCCACTTCAAATAAAGGCTCTCCAGAAACCCTCAGGCTCAATTTAGGTGTTATATTAACTTTGATGTCCTTGCTCCTGGTCCCTTCCTTGACGTTCACCTCAATGAACACGCCATCTATAGTCTGGGACCAAGAACCCCACAGGATAGCACATGGGACAAGACTAGATTTTTCATCAAAATTTATTATTAATAAATAGCCGTTTTATTAACTTTATGGGTGTGTCCAATCAATTAATTAAGTGATATTGATAATTAATAGTCTGTGAAATAAGTGATATTAGCATTTAAGTGATATTAGTATTTAGAGCTCAGCTCATAAATAGAACAGTTCAATAATTATATATTTATTATTGTCAATATTAATTGTTAGTTATGGAGTTGATCATTGGACTGGAATGTCGA